GGCATAACAAACTAAACAAGCATGTGCACAGACTTTGTCTAAATAGTTCTCCATTGTATGTTGTTATTGTTGTTATCGATCCAGCAGCACATGAGCTTTCGCCCTTTGACCCAATGCCATGTAGTGGAATTTGCATGTTTTCACAAGTTGTTCTCTTCCTCCGTACAAGGTGTTCCACTTGTCTGGTCTCGGAGGGAGTAGCATTCTTCTAGTCTCGCTGAGTTTTGGGCACTCAAAAAGATGGTGTTCAACAGTTTCATATGGGTAGTTACATAGCTGGCACTCTGCGGAGTGTTGTGGCTATATTCTGTTTAGATGTCCACTGAGTGGAGTATGTTGTGTTCTAAGTCTGAAGATGGTGGCCAGGTCCCTTCTTGTTAGATGGTTAATGCTGTCATTAGGATCAGGGCCAGCCATATTTCTATAAATCTCTCTTCCAGTGTCTCCCATGACCCATCTGTTCAACCAAGTCTCTTTGTTTATAGCTCTTATAAGTGTTTTTGCTGTCTATAGAGTTGTCACTGTAGGTGGTTGTTCTTGTGTTGCTCCTTTCTTTGCCAGTCTGTCAGCTCTGTCATTACCTGGTGTGCCGGAGTGACCTGGAATCCACTGCATCACTATTCTGATGTTGTATGAGGTAATAAGCTGATCAGCATCCAGGATTATCTTTGCTATATCAGTTCTGCAGCGTTCACTGCCCTCCAGAGCTTGAAGGGCAGACATTAAATCTGTGAAGATGACAATATTTTGGGACTTTGAAGGGTAAACATCCATTACAGTTTTTAGGTTGTATACTGCTGTTTCCAGTACAATTATTTTGGCTTCATAATTTGAGCAGAATTCCCCGCATGCATCAAAAATCTCTTCAACAGATCCATCGGGGTAACCTATGTAGATTCCGTAACCTGCTTTAATGGTAGCTTTAAATGCAGATCCATCAGTATAAACACGTATCCATTCTTGGGGGTAAGAATCAACGGTCTTCAATGATGAGTTCATAAGAGCGATTCGGTTGGACTGTTTGATTTCCTCGCCTACAAAGTTAATTTGGACTTCTGGAGCTTTAGAGCAAGCATGCGGTGGTAGGTTTCTTGCAACTTTCTGAATGCCTTGACGTCTTTCTGGAAGGTGGTATCTGTCCTGAATTTCTTGAACACAGTGTAAAACCGATTTGTGCTTTATTCTTTGTTTGTATTCCCAGTTTTCTACAAGGTGTCTATTAGGATGGTTACAATTCATTCTAACGCATCTTTCACAAATTTCTAAAGTTGTCCCACCAAAGGCTGTATCTGCATATTGCAAAACATATCCTGCAAGTTTGTCTCTTGTACAGCCAGTTAAGAAAGGAATACTGGCCCATTGAGTCTGGGAAAAAATCAGAGAGCATCACAAAAAGAATAGAAACTTTCCGGATATCGCTTTATCAACCCGGGAGTCGTGGTAAACTTTTTTTTTGAAATTACCCCAGATTGAACCCCAGCCTTTGGGCCCGCAGGTGGCATTTAGTGCGTGCCCCTGCATCTGTATGGTTAATCAACAATTATCATGTAGCGGGCTTTTCAGAAAATCACTTCCACCTGCTGAAAGAAATTGGGCTCTCACCCGCCCCCCCTTTTTGACTTT